GTGACAGAATATTGTCATAAACTCAATGCTCAAGTGAGAAAGTATCTACAGATTTTGAGAAAAGTAAAGCAATTTTTTTCCAATTTAACAACCAAAGACTGAAAATACTTCTCATGATAATATAAAGAACAGTATATGACAGGCCAACCTTGCTTTTTCTGCCCTTCCCTGTATCACTAGACTCTGGCTCAAAATCAGCATCATCTGGATCGTCTTCTGAAAATAAAATAGAAGTAACAAGGTTACAACTACTGACACCAAAAAGTAGTTCAATTGTGCAAACAGAAGCCAAAAGGATACTAAAAGGATGTGGTGGATGACATTAACATAACCTTCTTCCTCATCATCTTCATCATAATCATCATCATCATCACCATCATCATTGTATTCTTCGTGCCTCACCACTTTGGCACCTTTTGCGATGCTCTTACTGACAGAAACTGGTTGTGTTAGTAACCTGGAACCAGCTACATTTAGATGGCTCGGTCCGCTGCCATGTAGGGAGTCACTTTGTTCCTCGCCATCCTGCTCATAGTAATCATCAGAGAGCATTTCCTCTGCTGGTACTTCTACATGTTCTCTTTGGGACTGTCTCCTATCTTTCTGCCCATTCGAATCTTCCGAATAATTATCTCCAGCATCCTCACCTAAATCATTATGATCATACTCTGCATCCCCAGAATCAGACATTGGTTGGCAGACCTTCCAAAATTTTGAGCCCCATGCACCGGTAGGAGCTGCTCTCTTTCCAAGCTTCCCACTTGCATCTCCTTCAGAGTTGTCAATTTGCAGTCTGCCAGTATTAAATTGTTCTTCCTCATTCTGATTAGCATCTCCTGTCATGTCAGCGTCATTATAGTTGACATTGACATCCACATTTCTATTCCCTACAGAATTATAGTCTTCAGCTGGTCTATCCTCCTCTACCTTCTCATCGAGGTTGTGTCCAGAATTTATTTTGCTATTATAGTTCCTGAAGAATGCCATTTACCCTGACATAGAGATTCTTCCACGCAAAAACGTACTGCAAGAATATGGAGCAAAAAGAAGGATTTTTCTTTAATTCAGCATATTTTATACTACGAAAGCTTAAAGCTATATTCTTTTCTATAGCAATTTATAAATAAAATACAACTAGAAAGCTCCATTTTGAACTCGAGATCATGCAAGCTCATAATGAAGAGCCATTTAACAACCTCGGCCACTTGAGATCCAGTTGAGAAGACCAAGATATAATACGCAGAAAGAGAAACACGAAGTCATGGTACCGAACCGAGACGACCAGCTATCATTTCATCGAAAACAACTTCTTGTCATGAAGAAAAAGAATTGATGCCCAGAAATCGGAGGCTTGCAGAGCAGAAGTTATGTGTAACGAACAAATCTTGCAAGCAAATCCCAGAACCATTCGAATTACATCAGGAAAGGAGCGATCAAAAATCCGATAAGAGAAAACCCGATGAAAACCACACTTATGGCTCCACACTGATCGACCTCCAAACGACCAAATCCAGCACAAGAAAAGAACGGATCGGATGATCGAAGGCAAGAGAAACCCAAAATTAATCTCCAAAACCCCATAGAAAACCTAGCGACAAGATGGACGATGCGAACAAATCCTGATTGGAAGGGCACCCTACGAGAAACCCCGTCCAAGACAAGAAAGAAAAATCAAAGAGGCGGGGGACGAATTTGGCGCTCAAGAGACGCACCTCGGGACCCGACGGCACGAGATCGAGGTGGTTCGGTGGGATAAGGGCATTTATAGAGGACGGCCGGCGGCGCAGGCTAGCATCGTGCGCCGGAGGGCGGCGGTCGAAACCGGTTGAGGATAGAGAGATGAAACGAGAGAACGGATGATTTTTACCCCCAATTATTCGATTTTTTTTAATCTTAATCACCCTTTTTCCACCAAATAAAAGGGGAAAAAAGAAAGGGGGGGAGAAGAGGAGGGCTAGGGGAGGCGGCGGAGGAGAGGCGAATCGGTAGCGGGATTAGGCGATATATCGGGCGATTTCGGGCGGCGGTGGGAGGTTTGTCTTCGCGGTCGGACGCTTCCCACACAAGAGAGAGAGAGAGGAGAGAGAGAGAGAAAGAGAGAGGGCAAGAGAGAAGATTAAGAGATCGAGATTTGGGGGTCTCTCTCCCTTTTTTTTCCCTCATATATCGTGGTGACGATAATTCACATGAGGCCCTCAAATAATTTGTTTTTACTTATTAATCCTTTCACAGGGACGTATCTGCAAAACATACCGACCCGGCTGGTCTTCCTAATATTAATGTGAGTTCGTCTCCATATGCCTGCGATTAATATGTTTGATTTGGGGATTATTTGTTGGTGGAATATAATACGTCGGAGCAATATGGGCGGATCCATGCAGGGGCGTCTAACGCAGAATTTTCACGGTCCCGCCAGTAGATGACCGCCACGTGGGTATGTGGCTCGCAAGCGACACGGCTTTGTGGGACCCGGGTGAATCATGCGTTCGGGGAGCGGCGCGATGGACGGTGATGGAGCCTGACGTGGGAGTAGGAATTAGAATTCTGGGTGGAGCAGATCCCCCGGGGAGAGGGAAAAGCCTCTCTGGAACCAACCCGGCGCGGACCGAAATAGAACTATGAGCTCCGCCGATTGGTTTACGTGGCGATCGTCTTTTACCGGACGGCGACTCGAACCCTCACCTGTTTTGTTATTGGACGCAGAAGGTGGGATCCACGTGATCGGGCTATTAACACGACCAATCACGACTTAGGTAGCATACTTATCAGGCTTAGCTGTAGAAGGTGCCATCTCAATATTTTGAGATGGCACGAGACATGTGTCTTGCACGTGACGAAAGCCCATGGAGGCCCACATAAGGTATTAAATGATATTATAATCACGAATTATAATCATATTTTTTTATTTTTAAATTATATTCCTGACTCAATTACAATATCATCGATAATATTTTTGCTGATTTGTATGATTAAATTATAAGTAGTTGGCAATTCTCTAGTCTAATTGACTTTATTTGATTATCTTAAATATCAAACATCTTATTGTTTATCAATTTAAATACATTATTACCTTAATTGACCACTTATAAAATTAGTTGTATTGACTACTTATAATAACTTTATTGAATTTTTCTATTACGCTTTTTATCTGAATTCCTTCGATCGAACTCCTTCCAATCACCACAAGTCTGGTTTATCAACTATATTTAATCGAGTAACTACAAGTACAAATACTTGAAGCTTAAGTTATTAGGAAGGGATCGAAAATATCCTTTCTATCTTAGCAAGTAACTACAAATAGGAATGATATCATATGAGTGTCTAAAAAGGATTATTATTTTTTATATTCGCCACACCAAAAATACTTTTTAAACTATGTTTTATTTACTATAGTAAGAAAAAATCACAATCATAGCAAAAATAAAAAAAAAAAGCAAATTTCACTAATAAGGGACCGACCGATAAAAAAATTTTCATCGCGATCATGTTTCCGATACAATTTGATGAACCATAATAAGTAGTTGATCCCCTTTTTTTGAACCATAAAATATAGACTGTTTTGACATATATGACAATTTGTAAACTCAATTAGCAAAGTACATTATACATGCCTCATAAACATAATTATATAAATAGATAATACACAAATATACATATAAATATTTTTTAAAAATTAATCTACTACATTCATGGTCACCAAAAAAGATTATGTTTCCGATGAGCTCTCATATAAATTTTCCTTTTTTTTATAGAGCATTTCATATTAGTATATCTAAATATTTTATTGGATTGGACAAATTAGTTATATGACACACATTTAAAATTCAAGAAAGTTGAATCATAAGCAAGCTTGATACAATTTGCTTTTATTTTTATTTGTAATATACATGTCAAATATTCCACATATGGGACTTTAAATATTATCTTTCAAACCTAAATGTCAAATATTCCACGTAGGGGACGGCAGTCAACTTCTCGTCCTCTCTACTCGGCGGTGGCTGCAACAAGCACAGTGGTCGGTCGGTGATGAGATCGGCGACCGGAGGTCACGTCAGAGAAGATGCGACGTTGGAGACAAGGATGAGCAGTGGGAGATCTCTCTCACGTCTTCCTCGCACCTTCGTCCACTGTTCCTTGAAGCTCCGTTTAAAGGAGCGAGGGAAGGCAATGAGTCGCGCTCGCGAGCGGATAGGAAGATGGCCTGACGGCTGCTCACCTGTGAGAGAGGAAGTGTTGCAGCCGCTCGACACCCAGTCGACCGTAGCGAACAATGGTCGAGCGGCTACGGGCGGGCGGTGAGAACCGCAGGCCGCCGTGAGGATCGCGGGCGACGGTGCAAGCACAAGCATCGTTAAGAGCGCTGCGGCAAGGAACGCAGGCGACGACGCGGCGATACAACGTGAGGGGTTTCTCACACGGCTTGAACCGGTTCGGTGAAGAATTGGGCCGGTTCAGCTCTGGTTCTCACACAGCTTAATGCCGCAAATGGCATTAAGCTGAAGCTCGATGCCCGCGAGCGGGGAAGAAGATGGCCCGATTGCTCCTCACCTTTCTCGATCGTTCCTTGTCGTCGTGCATTACGCCCGCGAGAGAGGATGTGTCGCAGCCACTTGACACCCAATCGATCACAATGACAGGAAGCGGCGAGGATGCCGGCGGTTGTGCACGGGTGGTCGACGACGCAGGTGAGGCTGCATTTCTCATCCGACTTGAACCGGTTCAGTGAAGAATTGGTTCGGTTCAACTCTGATTCACTGTAATTTGACTTGACCTGAGCCCGAGTTGAAGTCTAATTTGAATCGGTTCCCTAGCATACATAGGAATTGCTACTTAGCTCCACCATGAATTCAAAGAAACAACTCACTGACATGTCTCCTTAACAATAAGCCTTTAGCTTTGCCCTGCAGATGCATAAGATGAGAACAACACAGATGAACATATCAGATTTGCAACCGCATAAATTATCCAAGGAAAACTATTTCATACAACTGTCAATCTGGTGAATGACCAATACTAATGCAGCTAGAAGAAAAGAACTTGTCACAAAATTCAATTGTAGATTGTTACAAATACAAGCATAGACCACTTCGAGACTTTTTTTTTTTTTGGACTTCTTGCAAAAAAGATATCAACATTTGACATTCTCTGCTTAAACTGCACCATCATATATGGAGGACCATCAAAAGCTATTGGTTCTACCATCCTTGAAGATGCTCGAATCTCATCTCGATAAGTTACCATGCGATATATTGGGATAGTTTATTGGTCTGTTGATCTCCACCATGGCGCACCAGCCTCGTAAGAACAATTGCCATCATCCCATGAGATATGGGATGCCTGAAGACCTATAGCTGCATAAGGTTCTTTCCCATGCTGTGCAATCCATTGTTCTATAGCTGCCATCTTCTCATCCTCAGTAGCATATTCCTTCCATTTTCTATCAAATGGGTTGATTGAAGGATTAGCTGTTTTGGCCATAACAGATGGGATGTACATCGAGTCCCCCACAATAGGCGCACCAATGGCGGCAAACTGTGCTCTGATCTGTATCAAACACAATCAATCATCAAACAATATATTATTGTCTAACTCAGTATGTGGAGAAAGATCAAAGTAATATTGCGACAAGGATGCTCTATCATGCTCCTAGGATACATCTTTTTGTTTCCTTTGATGACTCAGGCATTTGAAAACTTCTATTTTTGTAGAACCTATGCTTCATATGCATCCTTGAAAAGGTCCCACACGTTTAATACTCATTATCATGTGAGCACACTTCGATAAGTGATATAATAAATCTCACACTAACCTCCACAAAAGCTGTTTTACCTCTGATAACTAAAGGCTAGGACCCAGTCTAATACATTTAACTATAAGATTAACATTTGTCATAGCCTTGATCTATATATCAATACCATAAGTAAATCAAAGTACCTGATGAGTTTTTCCAGTCAAAAGATTGATTTTACATTCATAGGCAACTTTTTTAAAGGGCCACCCACAATCTTCAACATTATGGGTTTCCATAACTTTAGCAGCAGGCCACATAACCTCCTTGCATTCCAAAACTTCCAGTTGACAGAGATGCCATCCACCAATGATATCTACAATAATGAAAATTTCATAATCAATTTAATCTCAATTATCAAAAAATGACAAAGCATGATTTGTAAATAAAAAAAATGCAACATAAGTATCTCATGTTTCTATTTCATAATGCTTTTGATACTTGTTATGATCTTCAAAAACAACTAGATCTATATAATAGAAAATCCTGTTGAGATTCCATAAGATAAATTAGAAAAAACATAGTGGTAGATGAAAGCTTATTTGTGTAAAACTAAAAAAAAAAAATCACCATTCAAAAAAAACCATCCTAGCATCTTCCCTGTGGAAAAATTAAAGCCATTTATATCTGGTTGGAATTTAAGAAAAAACTAATGTATATCACAAGTTAAGGTTTTAAATCTTAATCCAGGTTTCGGTAATCTACTGGATCGCTATGGCACTAGTGTACTAGGTTGTATACTGACCTGTATAGCCTGGTACCAACAGAAAAAAAAAAAAGAAAAATTTATATCTACTAGTATCAAACCATCATACCAAACCGTATAGTCTGCTACCTGTCCTTGCTTGGACTAGTAAATACCGATTGGTACAAACTATACCAACCGATAATACAAAACCTTGCCACAGACCATTTACTATAAACACCATTTACAAGCCATTGTACAAAGTAAATTTGGCTTTTGCGAGAAATTTTGATCAACATATTATTTTTGTCCTAGAAAACTAACCAAGTGAAGAATGCTAATAAAAAATTTACTAGTTGCATGCACCCACAGTAAAAGAGTGTGCCAAGTGTGGCTGATGTGATCATGTGTACCACAGGCATTTGGGTGTGAGAAGGAAAAAAATAGAAACAATATATTTATAGACGTAGTAAGCAGTAATCACATTAAAGAATAAGGGATTTTTTTAAAAAAATTTGGTGGAGGCATATATAGCGAATGTATACTGGCTTGAGTTGACACCAACATACTCTCAAGCATGTGGCTCTGTTCAGCTTATTAAAGTCCTCAAAGGTCATTTTAAGTGTTTAGTTTTGACTGGTTTGTTGAACAATATGATTTTGTATTGCATGGACAGGTTTGATTTGTTTTGAGAATCATCAATCAACATTGATAATTTGAGATCCATGTAGACTGCATTCTAGCTGGCTTCTATCTTGTAAACCATAATTTTAATCATAATACAAATTCATAGTTATAAACTGCTTCTATTTCTTTCAGGTCTCCGCTTGAAGCTTTGTAAAGGAACCTGCAAAAAATATGAGTTGCAAGTCTTTTGGGTGATGTGGGTCATTTCCATCAGAGTTACATGACGGTGTTGAATTTTCAACCCTCTTTATAGTATACATGCAAACTTATACACATCTATAGGTATAATGAGACAGGATGCTCAATCTTAGTTAACTAATGCAGTCTGCAGGTTCCCTATCAGAAAATGAAATGATCTAAAGATTAAAGATCAAACCTGACATTACCTTCTGAAACTAATCTTGGAGCAGTATTCACTGGACGCATGTAATGGGTAATTATTCCAACAGGTACAGGTGCAGCAGCAAGAGCAAGATACAATTTTTTCACCCTTTTTTCCTGTATCAAAAATCAAAGTTCATCACATAATACTCAGTGAGATGCATAAAATCTACATATGATAAATTATGTCATGGCAGACTGTTGCAAAATTTTAATATTTTAAATTGACTGTACAATACCACTTCTCATGGGTAACGATTAAAATGGTACACCAACACAATATCAACATTGAATAATTTTACTAACATCATTTTGATGTGTTTTGACCAGTATTGGCACCATATCAACTGGTGCATACCAGTCTGATAGGATTCTGGAGTTGATATCGGACAAGAATTGGATGGCATACTGTTAAATATACAATCGGTTACATATTTAAAGACATACCCTGATCATTCCATGAAATTCAGAGCAAAAGTCCTTTGTTCTAGCCAATACAACACTGCAGAATCAGGATTTGAAGTCATTAGCCACATATACATCGTCAGAAATGTACTTCAGTAATAAGTAAAAAACTGACCAGCCCTCTGTACAGTTGTCTATTTGATGGGTGGTCCTCAAAGGAGTATCAAAGGCTAAAGCACGAGAAGCAAACATTGCACAGCATTCTTCAATGTTATCTATTGTTCCTCCTACCTAAACGCAGAGTTACACATTTGTGTTTGTTATACAAAACTTATTTATTAACAAGAAAAATCATGGAATATAGATGTCAAAACAATTGAGAAAAAGTTGCATACAAAAGAAAATCTGTCTGTTTATATCTCAGTACAGAACAGAAGAATTCAACTCCTAAAAGCCTTCCAACACCTCCATTATTCCATTCTGACCTTTTAACACTGCTGAGTCATGAGTGAACTTCCATTATACTCTACTGGTGAACAATCATCTTGAACTAGCCGATGTCATTATGTACAAGTTGTAGCCAAGGACATCAACTTTGTTAAATGTAATAAGTTCCGCCACGACTCTTATATTTAAAGCTTAGATGAACATAATACAGATGGACTTCATGTATTCGCTTCATGGAGGGGAATAACCTTATGCCACATCAAGATTGCTCCTTTGCAACCTGGGTGAATGGATTTCGAATCTGAAATAGCCACTCTGATTGCAGAGTAAGGCTTCGTCTATTGACCTTTTCCAAACCTACAATGACAAGGACTTGTCCACTAAACCGTCCCTTTTTTACATATATTTTCTTGGCTTAGACTAGTGGACAAAAAGTTTGAACATTACATGCAATGTTCAGCTAGAAGAGTTAGATATTTCCTTCTTTCCCTAGTTTTCCTACGTACTTTTGCGTTCTTCCTTCTTTTCTTATGTCCCCTCCTTTTTCTCCTCTTCTTTTCCCTATCTTAAAAAATTAGAAAATTATGGGAATAGCTCCCCCTTTGTGCCCAACCTCCCCAGAAAAAAAATGTTATAGGCCTCATAGCTAAATGACCACCTTCAACTAGCTAGAACGAGTCATTGATAAAAGTGAGAAAAAAAATATCAACTATTCAGCAAGAAGTCCATGAGAAAAGTTAATAACCCCCTACAAAATAATTTAAACTAGATTTGCATACAAAATAATAATCACTTCTGGCAGTTTTCTTCATGCTCCCAATTCAAGACACTTCAACTATCAATATGAATCTATCTTAATATCACATTTAAAAAAGCTAACTACGACTTCTTGTCCAACCATCTCTTTTGACCTTTCTCAACAACCCTAATAAATTTGTAAACTACATAAAAAATCGGAGATAGGTGAAAAGTGACTGAGGTTCCTAATTCACAAAGTTGATAAATTCTCTTTAAATAAAGAAACATGAGGTATTGAATTAAACGATGAACAAGGCCAGCCAAAATAAGGATGAACGAAGAATATACAACCACTTCATAGAAAAAAAATGAAATTGCCAGATATTTTGAACAAACTATATGTTCCAATACCAGTATTTGGTTAGACCAATAAATACCAGTTCATATCAATTGGTATGGTCAAAATTTTAAACTTCGAGTAATTTAATTGTGGTTTTACTTAGTAATATCAATGCAAAGTACTCTACGATATGGTAAAAGCACGATCAACTGGAGGACAGTCAAAGCATGTGGAATAATACTGGAAAAGCTAACTATAATATGCTACAACTGATAAAAGCTTATTAATCACAATTCACCAGAAGGGTCTAATGCAATTTCAATATAATCAATATTGGCTAGCAACTTAAAATGAAAAATTATGGATTTGCCCTTCCAACAATAGTCTTTCAAGTAACAAACTGGACACTTCATAGCATGGTTTGCCGTACCGAACAGTACCGCCCGGTACGGGCGGTACGTACCGGTCCGACAGACTTTCGGTACGCGGACCGTCTCTTACCGTTCCGGTACTGTAGCCGTACTGCTACAGTGCTCGGTACACCCGTACCGTACCGTACCGAGCGCGGGTCGAAACGCCGGTACGGTACGGTACGGCGAACCTTGCTTCATAGAAACAACAAACTTGCACCCGTATATTACCAATGGCACTCAAAACCCGGTACTTGCTTTATGTCTAATAGCACACTATTAGAAGTAAAACCTTTATGTCTAACAAAATTCAGACATTCACTCTGCTTGTATAGTTTCTAGTATACTTCTGAACATATTTTGTAAAAGATTAGATGTAAAATCTATAATGTGCCTTTTCAGAAATAATCCATTTGATAGCTACTGGTTTACAACAAACACCGATCTTCAGTTCTAAATAACTTTTTTTATACCTACAAAAAACTTAGGAGGCAAATTCGAACAAATATTCACCATTTCAAGTTGTGTCTCACTAAGTTATATCATATATTATTCTAGCTATTAGAATTAAGGTGAACTTTCTTGTGTTGGTTAACAAAACTTCTATAAATTTTTACCAAGTTTCTAAATACCAGGCATACTTCAGGTAGTTACTGATTTGACAGATAACCGATATGTGGCCCGAGCTAAATAGGAAAATTATAACATGTGCACATCAAAATGAAAAACTTATAACATGGAATTGATACAAATATGATAGAGAAAAGAGTAAGAGGTATAGGAACTCATAACAAAAGATATTAAATTACATACTGAAGTTGCAGCAGGTTTGTCGAGGACGACATAAGTACTGGTAACTGCTATGATTCTCGATTTCCAATCAATTTCATAGCACCTATTTATAGTATAAAGTCAATAAAAATGACAAATATGAGTTGAAAAACATAATCAGTGGAACATTCCCTCTATTGAGTCATGCTAACATAGACTATCTGGTAGCTAAACCACTGGATTGAACATCACCCATCTGATACTGTAGGTAGAAAACATAAGCTAGTCTCCAAAAACTTCAATTTTATTACAGAAACACAGATAACAAGAGTGTTTACCTTGGGAAGCGTTTTGGATGCACATGCACACGTAAGTAAGTTCCTGCTTCAACAAATTGATTAGCATCAGCAACTCTAAAAGTTTTCTGGGCTTCTCTCACAGTTTTCCCCTTAATGGATGATCTCTTCTGCAAAACCGAAGGCTCTGTTACTTCTTTATAGATTTGAATTTGTTCGGGAGTTGCAGTTGGAGGTGGCTTTGGGCAGACCAGTGCATAATGCACTGCCCCAAAACGGATAAGATCTGCAACAAACCTTCATATATAAAATATGACAGTTACTTAGCAAGTGCTGAGACATATTAAATTCAGCAATCTGTGTAAAGGGTGTTTCATGCATTATATCTAATTAAATCATCAGCTCCCTATTTCATCATATCAGCAAAAGCTATTTCAAATGCATAACCTGCATATTCTTACTTGGGACCAAAAATAACATGTTACAGATGATATAATCGATCATTAATTTGGTAACTTCAGCTCTATGACATTATGTATCTCTCATGTTCACCCAAATCAAGGTTTTTAACATTTGGATACGAATCAATATAGGACATTTGGAAGATAAAAGAGAACAAATTAATTTGATTGGATCACATGATATGATCGCACAATGAATTTGATTAAAAAAAAAAAGAAACTGAGACAAAGAAAAAGAAGAAAACAACAAATTTGACACCTACAAATTTTATAAATTAATTATTATATATAGTTATTCATTCATAACTTACCTGTATTCTACCAGTCCACTGATTGATCATAGGAACTGAACCTATAAGCTAATAGTAGGGAATCCTGAGAAGCAGGAACCTTTCGGTATTTAAGATGGTTATATGTGGTATATCTTAATAATTTGAACCTTGAAACTCTTATTTTATATGAATTTTCTCCAGAAGTGCTCAATGTACTAACATACATAATATCCTCCACATATTTTTGTTTAGATAAAATAGGACTGAACACTATAAAATGCCAAAAAAAAAAACCTCATTCAAAGAAATATAATATAGCTGTCATGCCACTCTTTGGAGGAATTGGTAATCTTTACTTTCATCCAGCTACATGAATATGTAGAATGAACACAGATACATATGAATATATTGTGTCTGATACCAGTTACTAAGAATATAGTTGGTGTTACTATATGGTTTATAAGGGCTAAGCAAGAATCTATACTGAACATTTCCTTCTTTGGTATACTCTAAAAATAAAATTTTCATCGAAGGGGTTTACACATCATCATTGGGAGGTGCTGATCACCAAATGAATGTGCTCTCAATCGACCGAGATTGATGAAATGGTGTTCACTGTGGTGTCAGGGAAGGAAAACATTATTGTGATGGAAATTGCACATAGCTCTATTCATCCCCTCACCTGGTCACAGGAGGTAAACTAGTTCTTCTACAGGGTACTGAAGTTTTCACTCTTGAAGATCCAACTGCAGTGCCTTCTTCAAGCTATATGTTAAGACAAACCACACCGCACAAGAACCCCAGACATGAACTTGAGGTGGTCTAAAGTCTAAACCCAGCCAAACACCAAAATTGGCTGCTAGACCTTGTATGACCTCGTAGAAGTGTGACGATCACTGCAATGGCTGTCATAGAGTACTATTCTAATAAAAACAGTAGCAAAGATGATTTAAAAAGTCCAAAAAACCAATTACAATACTTGGATGGTATCCTAAATTTAGGAGAGGACTACAAAATTACAAATAGTACTTGGAAAATTTTTTCCCAGCCCAAAAACAGACATAGGGGTCAAGCCATCCATGAAATACCTGGTCTACCCTAAATAAAATAATGGAGCAGAGCCCCCATAGACAGAATTGGCTAAGGCTAGGCGGCAACAGCATGATAATTTAAAAAGGCTTCTTTTTTCAACTAGTTATTACACTAAAATATAGCTTTCTACAAACACGCGTGCCTATGGAAAAAATAGGTGTTTTAGCTCGTGGTAATTATACTTTAAGCATAATTTAGCTTTTTTCTCCCTTCAATTAGACTTGGATTAGCTTTTGAAGAATTCTCTTTCCTTTGAAGTAGAGAGGCTTAGTTACGACTTTGGAGGGTTGCTCCAAAACACAATCTGAAAAGTATAAGTTGATCTTCATTAACAACAGTTGGTTTTCCAACTGCATAGTGTCTGAAAAGCTTCTAAGTTCTAAGAATAAATCCTCCTTTACACACTTTAAGTATCAATAGTTTAAGTTGCTATCTTGTATTTGTATCAAAACATAGTTGGTAATTCAATACACATTTTATTTGACACTGTTAATAGTCAACAATACTAGTATGCTGCCACAATTATTTATTAGTATATGTAAGGTTTGATGTACCGAAGCATACCGCTCAGTACGGGCGGTATGTACCGGTCCGATAGAGAACCGGTACAAGTGGTACATCAGTACACCCTAGTGTACCATGTATCGGTACAGCTCGGTATGTACCATACCAACAGCTGGTCGATACACCAGTATGGACCGGTAATACAAACCAGTATAGGTCAAGTAAATCATTCATCTATTAAGAGTCATACATGAAGAATTCTACAGGTCTTCTTTAATGGGATACTTGGAATGATGTATTTAATAGAAAAGGAAAGTTTTCTTCCATATGACCTCTTAGTAGGCTACATACACAAGTGGTTGTAACTTGTAAGCACCTTGCTTAGTAATAGCTGTCCAGTTAGTTCCCTTAATTTTTAGTTAGAGGCACTTTTTTCTTCTTAAGAGAAGCTCTTACTAGGAAACTTTTTCTAACAGATTTTTGTTATTTATTTCTCATTTTAATTTCACTGGAAACATACACACATATCCAAACTAAAAATAAAAAACTTAGTTATCAGTTATTTCTTGACATGCTTTATATTAAATAGATAAGACAAGGAGATACACTTACAAAGGAGGAAGATCCAAAGCTTTAGATATCCAATCAAGAACAAGTCCTCCTTCTAAGACTACAAGGTGCTCAACTCTTGGAGACTCATTTTGAAATGGACAAGGGAGCAAACGATCGTATTCTGGATACCTGAATCAAGGATGGTCTATTAAAGTAGACAGATAACATATAAATGACTTCAAACTTATCAAGGTACAGAAACACAATGCTATAAACTATGTAAAAGAGAAGCACCAAATGAGAAAAAATAAACTAGAAAAAACATAAAGAGGTGAAAAATACAAACTTCTCAGTTACTTCTTTTTCTCATCTTGTATACCTATAATATCAAATAGATCATCCAAACTCGTTCTATTCTGTCCTGACTCTACTGAGTTTTGACCAAATTGGTTCTAATTAGATTGAACCAATCCATGGCAATGTGTATCCATTCACATCAACAAGAGAGCCTAGTTAAGTATAAAGAGAACCTGAAAAAATCTATACAATTACTTAAAAGGACTAACCTATTCTGAAAGGAGAATAATTTCAATAAGGAAGAGAAAAACTAAAAATATGCTTCTCATGAACTAATAATATCCATCAAACCAACTTCCTGCTTGATTCATGTTTCTTACAAGGAGATGCTTACTATGGAAAGTCTTTTTAAGTGATAGCAAGAACTAGTAAATATTACAAACAAAACCAATGCTTCCATGTAATCCGAGCGAAACTGATAAAGACCACAAGAAATGGAGCTCAAAAGGCACAAATAGGCACCCCCAAGACCGAGCAAATTAAACTAGCCAAGGAGAAAAAAATAATTACCCATGAGCTGGAGAACTGCTCACAGTGGTGGTCACCGCCTTTGCTAACGAGGAGTGGGCAATGGAGGCCTTTCTTCTCACCACCCAGCAGTGTTCTTTTCTACTCCGGTGATGATTCTTGTGATCAGAGGCACTGGTTAGCACGCTAGCAAGGGCTACGGGGGGCAATAGAGCATTCCGCCAATAGCGAGATGCCCATATAGGCGACAGTAATGCATTGGACAAGACGGAAGAGAAAATAGCCGCTGCAGGTGCCATTCTATCCTATTTAGTTCTTCACCTGTGCCTGTTTTAACACTAAATTTTCACCTCTTGAATTGCAAAAGGGCGAGACAATGAAATGGTTCTCATAAACCTGATATAGAGAGAGATTACTCAGAGTGAAAATTACCACTTTCGATGGGTTGACCTTGTTGATCTTTCAATTCACCGAGCACAGGGCTTCTTCAAGAAACAGAGCTTTTTCGACCCCCAAAGTAACAACCCGAAAACAATATAAAGGAAACTAAAGAACAAGTAACCGTACAAAAACTACTAGACTGAAATAAAAAGCAGAAGTATCAAAGGAAAACGAAAAAACTTGAGGAATGACGAACACGGAATCGAAGAGATGAGAGAAAGGGACAGATTGCTGAAACAGCTTAGTAATTTCCTCTACTTTGAACAGGATGGTAAAAGAGAAGATCGTTTGCTTTCAGAAGAAACCGGAGAGGGACTGACGGAGCGACGAGAGCGGCGGCGAGAGAAGGCGGTACCGAGAGGGACGACAGGTCCGAGACCAGTGGACTCGGTTTCGTCTCGACGTGAAAAGACTAAAATGCCTTCTAAAAAGGACCGCTTCGGTTCGAACAGTTGGCTCAGGCGGATCACCGAACCGTTTAGCCGGTTCGACCCGGCCTCAACTTTTCAAGGAAAAGACGAACCGGACCGGCCACGGTCGATTAAAAATTGAGGTCGGTTGTCAGTTAAAATAAGAGAAAATAAGATAAACTAATTAGAAATTAGTAAGTAGAGATCAGTCGTATTAGTAACATGAAAATTGAGCTTCTCTCAATATTCTAAGTGATCACGAGCACATAAATTAAAAAGAAAATATCTGTGTCAATAATTTTCACCGTTATTTGACATTTTTTTAGTACAAATTGTACCGAAAAAAAGGGACCAAATGCAAATTTATTAAATAAAAATATTTATGATATGTTTTTCCCTTTATGTGTTTCAAAAAAAATAATGACATGTTTTGAATAATTAGCAAATCATTATTGGGGAAGGGGTGTAGGATAGGGAAGTATGAGAAGGTAACTTCTCAAGGAAGAGATGAAGTCATACTAGCACTCACTAGGGTTTTCATACAGTATTCATATACAAAATAGAAGTCTGATGCAATCGATTTAGCAATTCAAATGTCATTATTAATGTATATAATATGTACATAGATATGTCATTCATCAACTTTCACAGTCAAGTAGACATGATTTGCCGAGTTTGAACCAGGCTAAATCAGAATATATGGGACCTCAATTACCTCAAAAACATCCTCTATCTTGTTGGATTAACAATTACAGAATCAAGAAATGAGCAGGACTATGTTGTTTGCAAATTAAAATATTACAACATGCAGAAAGAAAGATGATTACAGAAGGTGGAGAACCTGATGAAACATGCAAACTCAAGTAGATTTGGTCTAATATCAATATACATCATCTAGAAATCATACCAGTTCCTGCAGAAGAGGGTCACCTGAAGCCATAACTCTTATTAGTTTCACAAAATCATACTCATGATGCACCTTGAGTGGATAAATGGCAGGTACATTGGCGGTATAGTAACTCGCGAAAGAATCATTAGCCGACAGGCCTGCTTTGTACACCACCGTCGCAAGAGCACTTGAATCAAAATTCTCCGGTGCATCCATAGACAGAAAAATCATTGGCACCGCAACTTTGTGATGAATGCGTTGATCCCCTATGATTTCTACGAGGTCAATGAAATCGCCAACAAATCTCTGAGGAACATAGAATATCTCGCTGCCACAGATGATGAGCCTGCCTTCCGTCGTACTCTGTTTGTAACTGGTCTGAAAATGAACTGGGAATTTGTCTACAATTTGGTTAACTAAAGTTCCTTGATTTACATGCCAATCTGAAGTCTTTCCCTCGGTGGAAACTGAAACCCATGATTCAGGGACCTGAAAGTAGATAAAGCAAGTCATTTAGTGCATCCTTTGAGAAGAAAACCAACAAAATGTAACCAAGAAAACAAATAAAAAAAGGTAATTGCCTTATTCGTTATCCACAGCTTTTCCTTGTCAGCTTGAAGTAGGTTCCAATAGTTAAGAATCATATCATCTTGGAGAAACAGAAATCCTTCTGCACCTTGAAATTTGTTAAACACCTTGGGCAAGTACCTATTTGATGAGCATACATGATGGCTCAGGACACAGAACAAGGTGCAACAAACAAACGTTCCAAAATAAGAATATATTGAATATAAGCTAAGAACTGGCATCCAGTACTTCTCATTACCAGAATGAAATTGGTAACAGTAGCAGGTATACATGAAGAGTCCATTTTGGCTTTCCCAACACTTGTGATTTGGATTTTTCAAGAGACAATTCCATATCATTTTTCTGATTAAAGGTTCCAAATTTTTAACAATCTTATAATGTTTATAATAACTGGCCCTGACTGTTTATGATAGAAAAACTCATACAGAATTGTTCTGTTATTTTCAATGGAATGGAATAGATATTAATCCTTTTCCAAACTTGTAAGGGGCATATCTCCCTTAATCCTTGTCATATTGGATATTTAAGTAGTCAATTTTCAGTGCCTCAATGAGAATAATGCAATGATATAAATTTCAAGATATGAAACCACAAAATTCAAAAGGTGCTTACAGATCGGGAACAAAGGGGATGGATATTATGAACTGTGATGTGTGCCCAAACGAAGTACAATTTGTTGGAAACGTCTTGTGGTTAATAATTTATAAAGAATAACCAAATTAAAGATTAAAGAAATTCTACTTAAAACTTATTATATTTAGTAGCAAATGAGTAATATACGTCAATTGTAAAAAAATTCTGTACCAAAGAAAGAACTCAAATTAATAGGATGTATCCCCTGGTAAGCTAGGAACATGAGCAGAGAGGTTGTAAATGAAAAGAAAAGAGTTCATCTTACAGCTGCAAAGCAAAAGCTCTAATTTCTAAAAACAAATGAGAAAACAGAAGAGAACAGAAATAGGTTTGGTTAAGAGAGGATGGAAAAAGAAATAAGAAGAAAGAAGGATGACACAACCAATTTACATACTTTATTTGTTAAAAAAAAACAGTGAAGTGACCACATATCAAGATACTGCTTTTGTAAAATGAGATCAGTGACACTGCACTTTTTTTCCACAAGTGAGACACTTTGGTTGTAATCCATTAGCATGTCATCATAATAGAGCAACTCTACATCTGGCACTTTCCTAATTGAGCTAACCGAAGCTTATAACGAGCCCATTTAAGCCTCCTGACCTTTTTTGCTTTATATCAATGAGTCAAATTCAACTCGGAACGTGACCCTAGTGCAACTCTTATAATAATAAATTGGTTTGAGAAGACAGGGTGATTAATATATTAGAAGAAAATAACACACATGTGACGACAGCCGATCAATAAAGATATGAAACTAACACCTGCATGTGGGGAAATAGAAGGATCTATACCTAGACTAAATCAGACTAACAAAACCCTAAATGGCCTAAACCTTGATTGCATCAACTGCAAGTGAATCTCGTCCCAATTGGAAAATTTTAAAATGTAAACAATATATATTAGCTAAGAAGAAGTATAAATGAGCCAAATACAAAAGATTACAATATTCTTGTAGAAATGAACTAAAGATGAAGATAAGGATGTTTAATCCCCTCACGCTCGGGATGGAGAAACTAATGTCATGCTCCCTTGGTTGGGGCATGCAAACAATAAGAGTACTCGTCCATGCACATGCGATGTTGCCTCAACACACCATACCATGTCGCCCTCGATCAACACACCATCTTTAATATCCTATGTTGCCCAAGTTAGAAGCAACTCAATCTTGGGAGTTAGGGGCAACTGGTGAGAGCATCCTAGTGTATCAGTCACATGGCCCAAGCATTTAATGTAGCTATTGATCATTAAACACATTTGGCCTATCATTCAAAAGCGCTGAGCCTCCATTTACGTGAAATATAACTATCACCGAACGACCTCCTCACTTGTCCATGAGCAAGCAATCTACATTTCAGCACTTATAACCTTTACACTTGCTGTAAAATGCCAAACAGTCAATCTTTTGTCAGACACAACCACAACCAACACGTAGGGGCTTTCTCATAAGTGGTTAAAGATTCTCATGATCCAACTAGGGCAGAGAATGTAGCCACCTATTCAATAGAAAATAAATGAAGCGAAAAAGCTACAAACCTTGCGAAACCAATAATTCTTCACAAGAACTATCATAGGCTTATATCCCAGAATTCAACAATCAACCTTTTTTTTTAAGTCCCACTCATTCTTGTCATTACCATAGGCTTACATCGAAGAACACTAAGTACAATTGTAAGCCATAACTGAGGCCATGCAGGATGTTCAAATTAAATTATAGTTCAACAATTGTTCAAAAATACTGATAATAATCTACATCAAAAAGTCTTTTGCATCCAATTCTGAGATGTTCCAAACACACTAGTGAAAATAAACTAATCCAGTTCATACTACAACACTGTAACCCTATGCATATAACTAGTGTCCCAAAAATAATCATGCATAAGATCATCTATATTCAACAAGTGAAATTTGTAACACTCATAGGTGGCGCCTTGTGGTCATATCACCATGATTATTGTGTTCTAACCAAGCTTCATAATGCATCTATTTGGAAAACTGTGTCATCTAAAGTCATCCAATTTTCAGGCCACAATTGGTTTTCCCAGTCATACTAATAATATCCAAAGATCACACATCATTTCCGGCAAAAGGTATCAAATGAAGAATTCTTGTTCCATTAATTCACAACTCCTGATGGGATGCATTTAACACAAAACCAATGGGTTTCCTGTCATTCCATCAATGAGTTCACTAGACATGATTGCAAGGCACTATTGTTCAGTAAGAAGAAGTCCTCAGCAAGATAAAAATTGCAGATTGATGTTTGGCTTTGATTAAAAAAAAATCAAGATAAAACTAGCAAGTAGAACTCACTTGTATGCTTCAGCTAATTGGCCGTATTCTACTGTGAGATCTGGGTTTCTCTGTTCTGATAGAATGATAACTGTTTTAAATATCCTACCATAGAGCAATCTCCACTCTAGAGCTGTACGATCCACAGGGCCACTGCAATACATGATAAGAACGACATTTCCAAAGTACTTTCTCCACCTCATGAGATTCCCAATCTCAAAAGTTACAGTCCCAACCTCCTCCACCCCAAGGTGCACTGATGGTAGCTTCTTGGGAATAAATTCCTGTGTATCTCCATGCCCAATTTTTGCTCTTGGTCGGTCCAACTCCAAGGACATCAGCCTCGGCTGCTGGTATCCAATGGCAAGCAAGTCTTGCAGCCAGGCAACTGTGAACTGTAAGTCCTGCTCTGTCCAAAACCCTTCCTCTGCCATCGCATAACTCAGATGCAAGATCTTCTCGAACAGTGTCTGTTTCTTTGACCTCCAGGATACCAAAAACTTAATGAGACGCCCAACGTTCACATGGAGGTCCTTCTCCTCGGAGAAAGGGTACAACCGTGCCTTGTCCACCCTTTGGATGGTCGGCGGGTAGACAGCCGCAAATCCACCAATCTCCCACAGGATTCTCTGTGCCCAGTAGCCCCTGAGCACATCAGAAGCCATTGAGCTTATAGAGACCGGAAGCATAAGTCCCCAGAATGCTTGCGCATGGAAGATGGTGTTGAAGGAGTTGACAGGCACCATCATGCCCTGTGGCAGGGCAACCTTGGGGGCGTCGTCATCGAAACGTATGTCGAACGACTCCAGACCTGAGGACTTGCGTGTGAAGTAGAAAACGGAATCCACATCAGGGAGACCATTGGAAAGGCCCTGTTGGATGAACTGCCGGCCACTGTAAACCTCGGTGTAGAACGCCTCGCGCTCAACCTCCCCGACATTTTCCAGCGGCAGCCCCCTCGGCCACACGGATCGCTGCCCGAAGTGGACGTAAGGGTTCACGACCGTGCGGTTAGGATCGGCATGACTGTACTGAAGGAGGATAGGGTGCTTGGGGGCGGCAGCCTCTCCCACAAGGTCCAGATCGAAGTGCTTGCCGAGGTCGCCACCCACGACCTCGGCACGGTCGTCCGCGTCGAAGATGACTTTGGCACCATGTTGGATGGCATACAGGTAACCGATAGATTTGCGGACATAAGAGTTGTAAGGAAGGTAGTCGACGGTCCGGAAGCCAAGCCGAGCCTGCTGGTCCAGGGAGAGGAAGATGGCGCCTTTGAGGGACCAGTCGGAGGGCGTGGCGGAGTTGCCCACGGCGAGGAGCTGCCAGCCCTTGGTCCTAGCCAGAGCACGGAGAGAGTCGGTAGGGTAGGTGGAGACGGAAACGACGATCCAACGGTCGGAGCGGAAGGAGGCGTACGGCGAGGCGGAGGGATCGAGGGGCTTGATGGGGGGGACGGAATTCCACGAGATCCGGGGGTAGGGGATGCCGCCCCCGGAGGAGGAGGAGGAAGCGGAACGGGTCTTATCGAAGCAGAGTAGGGCAGCGGTGTCACCGGCGCTCCGAAGGAAGAAAAGAGCCGCGACGGTGGCGGCGAGGAAGCACACGGCCAGGATCTTGTAGAGGTTGTCGAAAGCCCAGGTGGAGAAGTCGAGGCTCTTGGCTGGGGCGAAGCGGCGGTGGTCGCCATGGTGGGAAGAGGGGAGGATGAGAGGGGGCGAGGAGGGCTTGGAAGATTTGGGGGTTGCCCTGTCTTGGACCAGCATTGCCGGTCGTCCAATTCAGATCCGACTCAGTCCGGCCGATTTGGTAACAGGTGGGGGCTAGAACGGAACTCGAAGCGGAGATGCGGGATCGGCACCGGAGACAGTGGCCGGTCGATCAGAAGTGAGCCGAGATGCAGGTAGGGAGCAGCGTCGGCGTCGGCGTCGGCGTCGCCTCTCTGGATCTCCGACCTCCTTCGGCTTCTGGGGAGAGGTCGGTGGCGGCTATAATGCGGTTGTTGGTGCCGACAGATTGCAGTTCAAGTTTCGTTTTCGGTCGACGCTTGGGGATAGTATATGCAGTGCTGCAGTGGAGAGAGACGAGCAGCGGCCGCTCCCGGGAAAAGGTGGGGACAAATGGAAGCTTCGGGGGTTACTAATTATTTTTCTTTTTCTTTTTTTCTTTTTCTCTTAAAGAAACCATTCATTCACCAGTGTTGAATAGCAATTATATTTTTATGTGTCATCAATTATTTTTTTAGTATTTTACTCAAAAAAATTATTATTATTATTTTTTCTGGGATTTTTTTTCGAAAATATCCAATCTTTTACTTAAATAATTTAATCACATTTGTTATTCAAAATTTAATGAATTATTTTATATATTTTTTAAACTAATCATCTTAAAATAATTCTGAGTTGGCTTAATAAAAATTTGTTATACTGAAGATTGAACTAAATTATACTCCTCCATCACATTATTAGTTCAAAAGATCTTAAGTTTTTACAATTAATTACTATAATTATTTAACATTTAAGTTCTAATTACTGTATGAAGGTTTGGATTGATTAAGTGAAAGTTGACTCAGTTATCCTTAAGATTAAACTAAGTTACACTCGAATTATCATTTGTAAAATAGGAACACTCTTAAAATAAAACGAAATTAGTGAATTTTGTGTTATCCTCCTAAAATATATTTCTATAGGACTGAAAACATCATTGCTATTATTAATATGATTTTACTATAATTTCAATTAAATTTAATATAACAAAGAGGAGTGGACAAAACTATTATCTTGAAGTTTGATAGTATGTTGTTTTATGGTTTTCATTTTATTCAAAAAGAAAAAAAAAAATAAAGCATCCAAATATGAGATAATAAAAGAGCTAAACCCAATCATAATAAAAGCCACCCCAGATAGCAACATAGTTCCAATAGATAAGCACGATTTGCATGTGAATCAGCTACATAATTCATATAAAAGACGAGAACTATATCAGACATCAGTAATCATATGAAATGGCGTGATTTGGATGTCACGCCATCACCGCTAATACAAACAAAATGGCTCACATCAAGCAAGCTGTAAAGAGGTGTGACACTCGAGCTTTGATTTAGAGATCATTCAATCTCTATTGGAAGAAACCATTTAAGACATTTGATTCACTATCCAATTAACTTGCAAGCATTTGATTGTCCATAACTTCCGATAATACAGTTGAAGACTTAATACAACATCGAAAAGTAGACTACAAACAGTCCACATAACTCAGGGGAACTCGAGAAATACTAAATGAATAGCGGCGTTTCCGAATGTTATTATCCCATCTGCTGTCAAAATGTAGAAGGTCTTTCTTTTCTTTTACCAATTACACGTCCCGCGCTATTACTATTGGAATTATTGGCACACTTGGCTGGAATAGTTGGCAAGTCCTCTGACTCTGTAATTGTTTGAACTGAATGGCCGGTTAAATCAGCTTTGCACGAGGCTTGGTGTGACTCATGTCTTGTAATACAAATCCAAGTCCGCAGTTTCTCATCATCGCATTTATCATCTAATGGCACATGCCATGATCCTGTCTCACACTCCTACAAAGAAGAACATGAAGGAGAAAAATGTCAAGCAAGTGCCGAGCATTATGGTTCCACATGAGCATAGCAAACAACATGATTCCATAAAGAAACCAAGAAATATTACTCACCTGAATGATTGTAGAATATGGGGGTGGCATCACAAGCGTCAAGTTACCTTTGGCAAAATTATATCTAACCTGCAAAGGATTCATGACAAAAAAATACTTATCTTACTGATATATGATCGGTTACATTGGTTGAAAAAAAAAAAACAAATGATAAAGACAATGAATGCAACACAGCTACTGCTATGAGTCGATAAAATAGGAAAAAAGGCGTTTTAACATTTATTACAATAAACCAGAAGGCTTGAATGAAAAATGCTGATCCAAAGAAGATGCAGCTGTGTAAGGTACAGTGGGACTGGCCAAATAAATAGGAAGGACTACGTCTTTATGGAGAAGGAATTCCCTCGACAAGACATCCTTATAGTTACTGTACTAGTGATTTCAGTTCCTATTAATCAAGTTAACCATCTGAAGAATTAGAAAAACAGAAAGTGAAGAGGTACGATTCATCTATTATGTCAAATCTCATGTAAGTTAAGGCCACAAAGTTTGAGTAATCAATTAACATGAGCTTCAAGTACTACATCAATTGTCTGTTGATGTACTACAGACAATTAATTATAAATAAAAAAGTACTACATCAATTAATTACAAATAGCTAAGATAACTGTCTGTTGAAAGCAGATCACTGTCTGCCAATTTTGCCTTAAAACTTTTGCAATTCCTTGAAATGCCAATTCAACACTCCCATAATTTTATCGAAGAATTATTAAATGATAAATAGCACTTTCATGAATTGCATGTGTACCAGATAATATTTGAAGCTACTATGTAAAATAAGACAACAAAGCAAATCTATAATGGCTACTTGTTGGGGTTAGTGTATCTTGTTATTATCATATAGAATAAAACAGATGATCTGACCCTAAGAGGGATAAGAGAGAGAGAGGGGGAGAGAGGGTGGGGAGGTTGATTACAGAAACTAGAACATTCATATCCTTTTAAAATAGAATACGATAACATTAGAATTAAGTTAAATGCATACTTGATGCCTCTCTTTCCACTTAGGGAAAAAGGACCTTCCTAGGAGCTCAAATATATGATCTCTCATTTCATCATTTGTCACAAGCCAACATCCAAGTCTAACTGCTGCGTAGAGCCAATACCTAGGTCATAATAATGGCATCTTATGTCAGAAAGAATCCTCACAAAAACTAAACATAGGAAGTCTAACTTAACAAAAGATTTAAGATAAAAACCAGAAAAGATGCTTAGCAAGATAAAATACTTAAAAAGGCATATGAAAGCAGGACTTAAATGCAAAATAAACTGCACGGAGAAATGTCCCAATCATTTCCAGTCATGCACTAAAATTATCACAATGAAATTTTATCTCAAAGCATTTTACTACAGAACATAACCCTTTAGCATTTCCATGAAAAGAATCTTTAACTTAGAATATAAAGCAGTTCCAAAACATCAAAATGAGTCACATTCAGAATCAATTTCAAATTTGGAGCTTGGAGAGCTTCTTGAATTATTTCTGATGTGACGTATTTAGAGACAATAACTTGCTGTCTGTGTGAAAGATGAGAGAATGACTCATCACACATAACAGTGTTTCTCATGGTATCCAAGAGCGAATGCCAACTATTTAAGAGTCAAGTTGTAGCCAACTCATACCATTGAACTGCCAGCAGAGCACAGAAGTTTACAGGTTGTGCTGTTTCAGTAAATTTTCCAAATGAAGATATCCTAGCCACAAATTTAGTTTTAAGTGGGCATTAACTTTTTTCAAGAAAAAATAAAGTAATAAACTATATTAGTTTAACAAACAATACATCCTCTGCTATGTTCATCAGAGTATAAAAGACTAAAATTCATCTGGCCATGAGTGCCTTCAGATTTTGGGAGTTATTAATGTGACACATGAATGCTTAAAGACCGTCTTCATAGTGGAGAAATTCTTTAAAGCCAAGTGATTTTTTTTTTTTTCATTCATGCATCAGACTTTTAGTCCCTGCTATTTGATGATTTTAGAGTTATTTTCCACAAAAAACATAGAGGGACAAAATTTTCAGGTATACCTTTTTTCCCAATGAAATGACAGAATAACTTGCTGTTGATGGATACAGTACTTGGTAACTGGTTTGACTAGCAAGGTGTTCCAATGTTACTAAGAATCCATACCAATCATCATTAGATCCACTTGGTGTTGTGTACAATGCTCCTTTAGACTTCCAGGTAACCAGCAACTGCCTGTTGTGAGGATTTTCCATGAGTGCTTGAACGCGCCTACTGTGCAGAATAACAAGTGGCCATTTGTTTTCGAATCTTTTAGAAAGCTCTCCAACAACAGCTTCAAGCTGCTCTATTTAGGCACAAAGCACAGATGTAAGTATCAATTGCTGCACATCTATGTTAAAAGAGAATTAAAAAGCATTAAGAACAAACCTGAGACAAACTAAATCCACCATCTGCAAAATTTTGCTGATAAAGTGCAACATTTGCTCCATCAACAATAGCATCATAATTGTCATGGTCATCCAACCAATCCTACATAACGTTTGCAAACACATCTCAGATGATAAAGAAATTCTCTTTTCCCTTAGAATGTCAATTTTTTTAAGATTCAAATATCTCATTCTTCTCATCCACCGCCCCCCTCCCTTTCTTTGTACCATGGTACATTTTGGTGTCCCGTGTTGTGGTTATGTTGGAACAAACTGGACCCACACCAATCCGACCATGGATTGACATGTCCCTATACCCGGAATATAGAACCTTGGTTAGAGGTCCAAATTACAAATCATATTACCAAAAGTTTCGTAGACGATACAAGTCCCTTGCATTAATAATCTATTGGCATAGTGTTGATGATATAATATTCCTAGTATTCCTCATACATGATGTGAAGTATTTGACAAACGTTGGTGTCTGATGCAAACATAATAATCATTTTTAGTAGCCTGTGACTGATAGATGCTTATACCATTCAAAAGGTGTCTTGTAAGACACTTCAAAACTGGGCCATAAAATCTAAATATGCCATCATAACTTCAATTGAAAGAAGCTTTATACTGGACAACTATGGCAGATCATGTCACCACAAATCCACTCAACAAAGATGAAAACATTTGAAAGATATTTCTCATGAAAGAGGATTTCAGCTTGCAAGGAGCCTAAGAGCCAAGTCCATTAATCAAAATAATGGACTTAGATTAATTATATCCTCACGACGCACTAAGACTCAAAATTTGTATGTTTGGCAATTCAGACAATAATATGGGGGAAGAAGCTTAAAAAACTGCATAATCGTGCCTCTAGTTATTTTGTGTTGTGAGTTGCTTGATAAATTTATCCAAGACCAATAATAATAATTATAGCAAGCAATTAGAACTGCTAGTCAATGTCACAATGATCTATCAATAGAAATCATGATTGTTGTTGAATATTATTCGAGGAGGAAGCATGATATTTTACCTGAAACTTTTTGAAATTTGACATGGCCTCCCTTTCCATGGCCAAACTGGCCACAGACTCTGCAAACTTCTTGGTCTCCGATTGATCAATATCCACGCAAGCCAATTGCTGTCTGCAGGAGGTGCAGCGCCCATCTGCATTGACGTTTGCTCGGTTAACTTCCCATGTCCCCTTTCCCAACCACCCAAGCCCATGCCAGCCTCCACCATTCTTCAAGATCGCATCTTTTACCCTTCCACTATCCCAATTAGAGCTCCCAACCTCTGCCGCCGGTTTGCTCCTAAACCAACGCTCCAATATCTCAGCTGTGGTAGCGGTGACATGCCTCACATTGCTTCTCAACCTGTGCAAGTACTCATATACTTTCTCCTCCCTCCCCACCTTGGCGCTCACTTCCAGTAGCGCGGCAATCTCTTGCTCTTCTGGCACGACACCCGTCGAAACCATATGATTCTCCACACCGTAAGCCTTCTCCGCTTCCAATCCCCGGCAAAAGGCAAAAAGCGCCGGCCCGTAGGTCCTAAGCCTCGGGGTGGCCCCGTACTTCTCCCCCATCGTCCTCACCAGATCGAAAGCGAGGTCACCGCCTCCGTCGGGTCGCCGAGCGGCGATCCTAGCCATGGAAGTCACGGTCGCCTCGTTCGGCGCGATGCCGGCGGCGACCATGGCATCGAAGATTCGAGAACCGGCGTCGACGACGGACCGCGTCGACGCCTCATCGCCGAGGGTTTCGATCGATGAGGAAAGGATGTGTAGGAGGGAGTTGAAATGGTAAGCCGAGAGGCGAAGGTCCTCCGCCACGGCGGTCTCGTAAAGCGCAAGCGCGCCGGCGAGGTCGCCGTTCTTGGAGCACGTGTCGAGCGCGTGCCGGAACTTCCCCTCTCGCGAGCTGTTCTTCTTGTTCGTCTTTTTCTTAGCGGCTGCCGCCGTCGCCATTGCCGGCGTCCAAAAACCCTAAATGGCGCAGTTCGATCTCCACCGGTAACGTATATATCGTGTGTCTGATGTATGCGGACAGGCGCAGACAAAACTCTACGTTTACGCACCTGCTGCATTTTGAGTCGATTCGAGTTGACTTCTTTTGCAGGTCAGTCATCCATTGTTGCTATGAATCGACGACATCTTTCATCGATCAAAGATGTATCAATCAAAGTCGTGATAGTATATTGTTGATTTGTGTGATCAGAAGATCATATTGTTAATCCAAAATACACCTCTCTCGAGATACATATAAGATCTAATCATTATGAATCCATGAAGGTCAATATCGGCATGATGATACTATGTGACAGTAGATATGGCAGAATCTTGAATGGATTTGATACTATAATTATCGTTGTGAAAGGCTTGGATCTTATGGCACTTGTTTTAGATGATGTTGTCGTCTTTTCTAGAAGATGGATGATGAACGACTTAGATCTGTTGTCAGAAACGAGAGAGAGCGGCAGGAACTTGCTTCTCCCACGTACGTGTCGACCGTGGCATGCAAACGTCACCATGATATCTCACTCGCAGGCGGTGGCGGTTCTCCGGTGCACTCGAACCGACAACCCCCCGGTGATGGTGGCGGTGAGACCGGGAGTGAAATGAGGGGAACGGCCTCCATTAATCACCTCGATGTCGAACCTTGGAACCACCGAGACGATGACAGCCTTCATCTCCATCAGAGCCATCTCCTTGCCAAGGCAAACCCTGAGGCCGGCCTGGAACACGGGGTACTTGAATAGGCCCTCCGGGGTGAAGAGACCATCCCGAAGCCACCGCTCCGGCTTGAAGTCGAAGCAGTCGGACCCCCAGATGCGCTCCATCCTCCCCATGGCGTAGGGATGGTACGTCACTCTTGCGTTCTTGGTCACCATGGTCCCGTCGGGGAGCACGTCGTCCTCGAGGCAGAACTTGGAGTCGAACTGGACGGGCGGGTAGAGGCGCAGGCTCTCGTGGAGCACCGCGGTCACGTAGTGCATGCCCTTCAGCTGCTCGTAGGTTGGAACCTCGTCATTCTCGTCCTTCCCTTTCGTGACAGCGGCTACTTCATCACGGATCGCGGCCACGACCTTGGGATGCTGCGAGAGGAGGAAGAAGACGCTGGTGAGGGAGGAAGCCACGGTGTCGCGGCCCGCTAAGAGGAAGCTGATGACGATATCTCGAAGGTATCTGTCATCCTCGACGGAACTCATGAAGCGAGAGAGGAGATCATGGCCGGAGGCAGAGCCCAGAACCCGGCGTTGGCGTATGACCTCGTCCGCCAGCACATTCACTCTCCGGATCGATCGCCGTAGCTCTCTCTCGGATCCCACGTTGAGGAACCGCTTTAGCTTCCATACTAATGGCGCGATCGTGGCACCTCGCCGCGCCAACAACGTCGATGCCCTGTCGAAGGCCATGGCGAACTCGGACATGGGGAGTGACAGCTCCAGGCACCCTGGATCCAGCCCGAAGGAGATCTTGCATACGGTATCGAACGCGAACCTCCGGAATACGTCTTGAAGCTCCACCGTGTTATCCCCTGATGGATCAGACACGAATGCCAGAAGGGGGAGAAGCCGGTGGTGAACCTCACCGGAGACGATACGGAAGGCATACGAACGCAACGAGGCGCTGCCGAGCTCAAGGCTCGCCATCTTCCGCTGGAACCGCCATGCCTCTCCGTCGACATTAAATATGCCATGGCCGAGGAGATCACCGAGGATGGTGGAGAAGGGCTTTCCCTTGGGGAAGTTGTCAAAGTTGGTCTTGAGCATGTACTCGACGTTGTCGGGGTTGGCGGTGATCGTGTTCCCGAGCACATGGATTTGGACAGTTCCAGTCGGCGACTGGCGGAGGAGGTGGGCGTACCAGTCGCAGAGGTTGTCGAACTCGGCGGTCCACGTGGAACTCAGGTACGCCCTGCAGACAGAGCAGTTGCACCACGGCCGCCACCTCACCAAGAGGAGAAGCCCGGAGAAGGCGATGAAGGTGGCGGCGAAGATGAAGAAGAAAGAGGAGACGTAGCTTTGCAGCCATACCGCGGCTGCCATGCTTGGTCTCTCGGGGTTGGGATGGACCGGATAAGGAGGGGGAAGGCAACGGGGGAGGGGGCGTTGCTTTATAGGGGCAAAGCAAAGTGGATGGTGTACGTGCGACGACAGAGGCCTCTCGACATGACCGGTGATCGACAACCGCGCATGGGCTGCGCCAGCCACACGGCGAACACGGGCACGAACTCCTCGTGCGCTAAAAGGCGACGACTTGGGAGGGGAAGGCAGTCATAAGCGATGACGTCAGCGAGGGGAGGCAATGGAGCCGCACGGGACATCGGCTTCGCAGTCGGATTCACGTTTCGTTGGCTCTTTCCCTATTGGCGGAGCGATCGCGGGGCCCTGTTGACTTGACCTTCTCGTGTTATTTCTGTGTGCTTTGGACGGCCCGTATTGGGTCAATGATCGAAGCTCGCAGGTTTGGTGGTGGTGAAAGGTAAACATGAACTAATTAAGGAAAGATTGGGGTGGCAACTTAGCTTTAAAAGGGTATTAAAAGAAGGAATTAACATATATTAAATTAGACTTTGATGGAACATAAATACTTAAATTTATTGATCGTAAGTCTAAATTCAATATATCAATATAATTTTGTAATCATTAATAATATGAGACTATCCGATTGCTATATTTTCTTTTGTACTATAATATCTATCATAAGAAATAATGACTTTCGGTAATAATACCATTTGCTAAAATAAAAAAAAAATATGTATTAATTATTTAAATTACATTTTTAACTCAAAATTGAGCTTACAAATCTATAGCTAAAAATGGATATGCTTCCCTTTTTTATTTTACAAAATAATTATGTTTTCTTTTTTTTTATTTATTTCAATTGAATGAAATATAAATAAATAAAGAAAAAAAATCATGAAAATAATAATTTTGGTTAATTCATTCATACGTATTTATATGTATTTATAATATTTTTAGATTCCTAGAATAAGATATCGAAGAAGAATAAAAGGTCCTAATATAAGTGAAAAAGAAAAAACCAAAATAACTATGTTCCTTATTTATAATGCTTCAAATTCTTTTAGCAAAGTAGCAATGTGGGAAGAGAAAAATAAAGGCATCCTAAAAAGGACACTTTTAGCACATTTAGATTTCTCTAAGAAAATCATCCTAAAAAATATTAATCAATGATTATTTTCGCTAATTTACTCACAC